CTCTCAAGTTACCAGTGATAGAACAAGATGAGATGACCTCACATTGCATAAGCGGAGGTTCAGATTGGATTTTAGAAACAATTTCTTCACCAAAAGGGCTGTAAAACACTGGAACAGACTGCCCAGAGTCACCATCCCTGGAGGTACTTGACAGATCTGTAAATGTGACGCTGACAGACGCGGTTTAGTGCTGGGCTTGACAGTGCTGGGTTAATGGCTGGACTCCATGATCTTTAGGTCTTTTCCAGCCGTGATTCCATGGTTCTGTGATTCTGGGCACAGACAGAGCTGTCAGTGGATAGAAGAATGGGCTTGTTTCATGTGCTGTATCAGTGATAGTAACTTGGCAGCTACAGGTGCTTTCACTGCATTGTTTCTCCAGAATTAGGCAGAAAATATTTCTATAACAACCCCTGGTATTTAATCTAGATCTGTGTTCCCAACCAGCATCCCAGTTCAGGCACAGCTTTGGAGTTATTGTATGGGCACACCTCATTCCATTCCAGTATAGGTGTCAGGGCCAGAGAATGGACCTACATCCATCTGCTTTACAGTCAGGATCACTGAGCACAAAGTGGTCAAAAAGATCTTCAAAACACCACTTAAATGGCATCTTTGTTCCAAAAAATCAAATTTGCAATCACCTTGCAAATCAGCTGAGCTGTACCCCAGCACGGGACTCTGAGGCTGAGAGAACAAATGGATTTAGTAGAGTGCTGTGCTCCCTGCCATTATTTCTGCTTTGTGCTCTGATTTCACAGAGTTTCCACCTCTGCTGTCACTTCCCAGGAAGCTCTTGATCTCTCACAATAAAGCCAAAGGTCGATGCAGAGACTTGGCTTTATACCAATGATAACTGCATTTTCCACATGCTTTTTGTGCTGGCAAGGCTGTCACTCAGCAAAGCCTGAAGTTGGTTCATTTTCATTCTGTTCTGTAAAAAGAGAGATGTATAAATGTTCATTCCCCCTCCCCTTCATACTGGAAAACATACTCTGCTCCATGTGAAATTCAGGAGTTTCAGCAGGAGAAATGTAAGGCCCCAGATAACCAAAATAACAATAAAAACAACAGCATGAGAATTGACCAGCAGAAAACTGGTTCTCTTTTGCAGAAAGGCCATAAAAGTCCAGTTACATTTTTATAGTGTAAGTATTAGTGATTTTTTTCTCCTGGCATTAAATTTTCATCTTGCTGAAGAAACAGTCCACAGTGAAAACACTAAGAAATGAGATAAAACTTGCTACAACCATTAGATCAGAGCAGAACAAGGGAGTTGAGGGGGTTTTGCAGGCTGGGCTTGACCCAACCCAAAAATTATTTTCTTTTAAAATAAATAATCAGTTCTAGCACAGTGTGGGAAAATTACTGGCAGGAAATTAAAGAAAAGTGAGAAGTATCTTGGGGCTAAAGTTATACATTATTACTACACATTATAACTATGAAACTATGGGGAAAACAGAAATTGTCCAGCAACATCTTTTCAGTGTTGGAGAATCAAGGCATTACATTTTTTTGGTCATGATGTGTAGTGGAAATTATATCATTCATATCTGCCTAGGTTGTTGAAATCTTCCCTTTTATCTCTAGCAACTAAGCAGTAGCTTCTATTAGAAACATTAATTCAGCAGGAGAGTGTTGTCATTATTTTGCAAAGGTTCCATATTGCCAGAGTTTCATACCTCCTTGATGCTTTTTGCAGGCAGCTCCTCCAGGCACTGACTCTCCCTTGCCCTCACAGCAGCAACTGACTCCAGTTCCCCTCAGCCAACCAATCCACTCTTTTATAACACTCTGCTGATTGGCTGCAGCTGTGGCCTGTTAACATCAGGCCTGCTCCTAATCCTTAGTAATTGCCTCAGCTGCAACTCTTTAGGGGATAAGATTACTTTCTGTACCACCTTCATTTACTTATATTGTATCCCCCTACAGGAGAGTGAAAGAACACCAGCTGATCATGGGTGCATTTGGTGCACTCTAAAACAATGTTTCTTTGGTCTTTCTTGTATCCAGGCCCAGCTGTGGATGCAATTGATGACTGCTGCAATTGTAAGAGGAAGTGAGGAAGGTACCTTACCCACTAAAATTCTAAAAGTGCTTTGGCAGGATAATGGCGATTGAGTTTGGAGAGAAATTCCAATTCTGGTGGTATTTAGTCAGTTTTACCTATGATGCCATTGACAACACAGCCACAGCTTTTTTGTTGACTGTCCACAATCCTTGGGTGTGTATTATATACCAATCATTGTGTGAGGGTTCAATCACAGTGGGACTATACTCTGGGAGCAGAGAGCATGGGCCCAAAAAGATGGAAAAAAATTGGCAAGGCACTGATGTCATTGTGCAAGAACAACAAGGAGTAATTTGTGAAAGTAACACAAAGCTTAAGACATTTGTCTTGACACTGAACAAAAATGTTTGTCATTTTGAGACACATCCCAGGGAAATCCCTGAAAATGTTTTCAATTGTACAAATTGGTGACAGAAGCATGAGAATTCTTTGTGATTCCATGGTAACTCTTAGATAATGTTAGTGTAGCCACAAGTAATCACTCAAATGTTTGTGTTTGTAAATCCATTGAAAGCATGCAATGTGGTTTTATTTACTCAGCTCCTACCACATCTTACCAGTTATTACAGTTTAACTCAATGCTGATTCAAGACCTGCTGCCCACATCCATTGGAATGAATCTCACCTTGAGCAGGAAACTGCTACAACATGAAGACTCAGAACAATTGCTGAAACAAGCTCAAGAAAATGGACAAAGGACTCTGGTCCTTGCACATCACAATGTGGAGAAAATAGATAATGTTTTGGAACCAGCCAAGAAAGATGCAGAACAGTGGTGATGAGATACCCTCTTCAGATGATCACCAACAACTGCTACAGGAATTTGTTGTATTCATATTAACCCTTTTTCCTTCTGTCTTGATAAAGGTATTATATGTTAAAGTTTGTATTTTTGAGACAATTAGCCTATTGACCATCCCTACAAATATCAGATAATCAATGCAATACAAATGCTTGAAACATTCTTGAACTCCATTTGAATATTGGGAAGCTTGAGTGACTACAGTCATGGAGTTGATTAAGTGGGAAAGTGGGGGGAAATTAGAGGCATCTGTGTAGGGGGATATAGTGTGGATAAATAAAGGTGGTGTAGAATGTTCTCTTACCCCCTAAAGTGCTGCAGCTGGGTTAATTACCAAGGTTAGGAGCAGGCCTGATGTTAACAGGCCACAGATGTAGCCAGTCAGAAGAGTGTTATAAAAGAGTGGATTGGTGGGGACTGGAGTCAGTTGGCTGCTGTGAGGACAAGGAAGAGTCAGTGCCTGGAGGAGGTGCCAATAGGAAGCATTAAGGAGGTATGAAACTCTGGCAATATGGAACCTTTGCAATATAATGATAATAGAACTCTTGTACTGTAATGACTGGGGGGAAATCTTGAGGCTAAAGTTATAATCACATACCAACAGAAGCTGTAACATTAGGACATTTTACCTTACATTTTAGGGTAAAAGGCAGTTGTGATTTTAAGGAGGGAATGCAGTTGGCAAGCACCTAATTAATTCCATGATAATTCCTTATGCAATGCCCCTTGCAGCCTGAAGAAAATGCTGAGGAGGGATCAAATGGAAGGTGGAGCAGGATGGAGACCCCATGGCTCTGTTGTGATTCCTGCAGCAATGGGAACTCGGTGGTACCTCATAGCTGACAAGCTACATGGCAGCTGCCAGGCCCAGGATGGAGGAGATGTCCTGTTCCTCAGTCAGCAGCTGTGGGGAAATCGCTCTCCTCAGATGAACCCCACACTTTGTACTCTCATTGTGAAGATGTGACATGCGTCCATCCCAAAGTTACCCACCCAAAGTGTGACCACCCCTCCCTGAGCACACACTATTTTGTTAACTATGTCTTTGAGAGCAAAGTGAGGGAATTTTGCACCAATTGAGAACAAAAGTATGTTTGACTAGAGTCACTCAAGCTTCATCGAAGTGTAAAGAAATAGTCTGACAGTGAGTTAAGAGGGGGACAAGTTAGGAAAGGCCCCATGTAACTTCTGGGATGGGTTGATGGGCTGATTGTGGCTTTTCCCCTGTGGGCACACCTGTTGGGTAGGATCTCTACACATTGATTATCTCAAACTTTCACTGGTGATCAGAGCCTGTGGATCCCTTCAAACTTGTTCTTGCAGTCAGTACACTGTCAGTGACAATCTCTGCCCCGACTCTTCTGCGACAGTGACAGTCTTCTGTGATCAGTGTATTTGTTAATAAAGTGTGTTATTTCCTTAATTGCTCAGCCTGAGTCCTTCAAGGGTACTGGCAGGCAATGACAGTGGATAAAAATGACAAAATTAATAACATAGAGACTAAGAGCGTGGGGGATCCTGGGGGGGGGGGGTGTCTTTCTTTCCAGACTGATATCAGGGCTTTGACTCTGACACGCTGCTGTCGCAAGTCCCTGGCCAGGTTAATGAACGCACGCTGGGCACAGCGGGCTGTGCTGGGGGATCCCATTCCAGGGCAATGGCAAGTGGCTGGGCACAAGGCTGTCTTCGTGCCTGGGGCGCTGACAAACCAATCATAATAATACATTAAAAAAAAAAAAAGTATAAAGGCTCCAGGAAACACCCCGTTTTCGTGGCACACAGTTATTGGGAGATCTGTGTGTCAGTGCAGCACTGCTGGAGGAAAAAACCCTGACATTTCTGTCATCTGATGGTATCTCTGGCTGATTGCAGTTTCAAATTTGGTGGCGTGGTCAGCACTGCAGGGGAATGCAGTGAAATCTCGTAATACGATTTAATGAACTTTGAATAATAAACCAGTGAGCCGGACTGCGCCGGCTCGCTTCGGCTCGGCCGCATTCGGCTCGATTCGGCTCGGCGGAGCCGTCTTTGCTCCTGATTGGCTCGCTCACCGCGCGCTCCCCTCTCTGATTGGTGGGAAGCCTTGCCGGCGGGAGGTCTTAGTGGAGTTACCATAGCAGTGTGGGACGCTGCGCGGCGGCCGCGGAGGGATCCGGCCGCGCCGCCGTTCCGTCTGTCTTCGGAACCAGATCAGAGCTGCCGCAGCGTTGTCCCCGCAGGTGTCTGTGCCCTGTCCCCACGGATATCCGCGTCCTTCTCCCCACGGGCGGCATCTCCTCATCCGGAGAGGCTGCGGGTGATGGGGGAGGAGCTATGTTTTTCGGACACGAAGGGGCGGTGCCACTGATGTGAGGCGCGACAGAGGCGCGATGCGCCGCCATTTTCCCCTCAGCGGGGCGGGGCCGTGCCGGGCGGGTTTGGCTTCGATTGTAGCCCTGTGCCGCCGCCCCTGGAGCCTTATGGCGCTGTTTTCACCGCCCCAGTGAGGGACTCCGGTATGGGGATGGTAGATGTGGATCTTTGCTGGCCGCCGCCTCTTCCCTGGGGCCTGCAGGACCCGCCTCAGCACCGGGCAGGGTGTGGGACGAGCCGTGCCCAGAGGATCTCAGCCTTTCCCTTTCGCCCGCCTTTATCTCATCGCTGCCCCCGAAGTGCAGGGCCAGGCCAGGCCCCTCCGGGCATGCCCGCGTTGCGTGGTAGCTCGGCATTCTCACTCTGAAAGGTTCTGTTCGCAGAGCTGCCCTGCTCGCTCTGGAGACTCGTTCTCTCACTGTTCTCTGCCCCTGAGGCGATGCATGTTCTCGGTCCCTGAGGGGGACCAAGGCACCAGTGCAGGCAGCCGGCTGTGCTTGTGCACGGTGACATCCGTGCGGTGACACGTGGCTGAACACGGTTTTGGGAGGACTGAGGCATTTGTGAGGGTGCTTTGTTTGTCACAGGGAGATTAAAATGCGTTTCCTCAAAGCTGCAGAGCCCCGTGTTTGGGCACAGGGAGCTGCACTGCTGACAGTGCAGAAGAATGCATGTTTATGTAGGAAGGATTTTTAGGTTGTTCTCAGGTTTAATTATCACAGAATGGTTTGGATTGGAAAGGATCTTTAAGATCATCTAGTTCCAACTCCCTGCCATGGGCAGGGACACCTTCCCCTAAACCAGATTGCTCCAAGCCCCATCGGACCTGGCCTTGGACACTTCCAGGGATCTGGCACAGTCAAACAAATGTCCTGATACAGGACAGCCAGCCTGCTCATGGGATTTGGCATCTGCAGACTGCAACTGGTAGATTGACTAAATGCTTGTTTTATCCACTCAGATTCTGGAAATCCTTTACTCTATTTCTGTCTAAGCCTGTGATTAAATCTGTAGTTTCAAGACCTGCAAAACAGCTGCTGTCTCATATCAGTGAGCCCTGCCTTTGCAGAGAGGAAGATGGCATCTCCCAGCAAGAATCCAAAAAAAGGCAGAAAAAGAAAGGATTAAGATTCAGTAGAAGCTAGAATTATGAAGATTGGTGGTGGGGGGAAATCTGCAGCTAGAGTCTTTGCCACTTTTGGGTTCCTGAAGGCAAATTGCTGCAGAGGCACATTCTCTGTGTTTGCTCTGTTTTATCTCCCCTGGGATCCCAATTCTCTGAGGTGATCAAGCACCTCCTCTGTTTTGTGCTCAGCCTGTCTTTGTGAGGTGGAGGAAATCTGTAAATGGTGGCATGACACAGGAGCCTGTGGCACCTGTGCAGGTAGGGAGGATACTCATGGGAAGGTGTGTTGGGTTTTTCTAATGCCAAATCTATAGCCTGTCAGGTATCCAAATCTCTTCAGCCCTTGCTGTTTGCCTGTTAATTTTGTATCAGAAATTGGTTCTGTGAGGTTTGCTTTTCTTCTAGCTGGTACTGAGATTGATGTCGTTTGGATTTTGCCTTTTATTTCTTTCATATGTTTTCTGTATTCTTCACACATATGTTTGTAACTCTGTCACCTTTTGTACTAGTAGCTACTTTTCCCAATACTTTTCCATGGCCTTTCCCTAAGAAGAAAGAGGAAACAAATTCCAGAGCTCCAAGCCCTGAGAGGTACAAGACCTCTATCCTGTCTTGCTTCTTCCTGGGAAGCAAGGCTGAGAACAACTCTTTGGGATACATTCCCATGGACAAAGTACAGCTAGTGCTGAAGGGGGGGCTCCAGAGAAGGGGCTTCACCTTGGGGAATTGCATCACCACTTGTTCTCCTAATTGCTGCTTTTTAGCAATTATGCTAGTTTCCTAAAACCTATACAAATGTACTCACCCCTGGGAGGGGTTTGTGTGGACATCTTTCCATAGCTGCCTCTGAAGTCCTTCAAATAAAGATCCCCTTTTATATTACCTCCTTACTAAAATTATCTCGAGTTTCATTTCCAGTTTGGGAAAAAGGTAACACGAGGTGTTCAGGTGACTTCCTGAACCCCCTTCCAACATATGCTCTCCTGTGATTTCTGACTCTTTCAGTCAGAAAAGACAGGAAAGAGGATGCAGGAATATCCCAGCAGTTGTTTTTGTCAGTGTACAAGAGCAGGGACTATAAAATGAAACAAATAAAGATGTAGATTACAGACTTTACCTTGAATTGATGGCATGAAATTTGAATCTGCACTCCAGAGAGCTATGCTGGGAGTCAGATATTGTCACTAAAGTGCTGGATTGGACAGAATAAACTCTTAAGTGTTGTCTTCTACAAAAAAAAAAAAAAAAGGTTATGTTCTATGAATACCCAAGAGTCTTTGCTGATTCTTATAACTAGATACTGCAAAAAGTAATTGAATATCAGGTGGTTTTTTTTTTTTAATAACTGAAAGCTCTGTCTGAAGACTTGGGGTCAGTATCTGTGCAGAAATAAGCTTTTCTTTTGTTCCATTCTTTACCCAAGTAATGTTGTGAATCCGTTGTTTCCTGGAAGCAGTGTGTCTCCAGTGAATCTGAGATAAATAGGGGTTTAAATGGAGGTTCCTGTAAAGGGCATTTTGCCTCTGTGGTTGCACTGTCTCTGTTATAAATCAATCCACATATCCTGATGCCCATACTAGAGAGAAGATGGAATTTTCTGACTGGAGCTGAGTTAGCACTTCACCATAAGCTTCATCTGGTAGAACTAAGTTTAAATACCAATGAAATGTAGCCATAGTGGGATGTGGCAGTTACTTGAAAGGGATTTTATCTGACTGAAAACGGCACAAAGGAAAGAAGTAATAGTCTGGAGGTGAAATTTGATAACTCTGAAATGTTTCCAGAGCTGACAGGCATTTTCAAATAATTTGTCAATCCATGTTCTTGGAAAGAAAATGGTGTGTGGAGATGAGGACAGACGGTTCCACCAGAGGCAGTATCTGATTGTAAACCTGATACTTCATCTCTGTGTTTTACTTAATGTGACAGGAAAATGTAGCAGGTATCAGCAGGTGGAAGTCCTTTAGAGAGCTGTATCACTGATCAGTAGGAATTGTAAGAAAATTTAGATTTTGCTGTTAATACAATAATTTTTTATGGATTGTGATGGTTTTATTGTTTTTCCCAGACTAATCCAGCCATGGGTAGTGTGAATTACTCAAAAGGTTCCTGGCTACAAAGATTTGCAAATGGGAAACCTGTGAGAAAACCCAAGCAGCAAGAGCCTTGGAAGGTGAGTGACCCCAGCATTCCTTCAGCTGTAGGTTCTGCTGGGAGCAACACAGAGAGCAGCATCTGTAACTGGGAGCACAGGTGTGTAACTGGGCCCTGTGTTGGAACTGGCCACCAATCCCACTGAAATGCTGGCAGTGTGTTCTGGTCTGGCTGTGCTCTCACACTTCCATGCCTGGCATGTGCCTGAACTCATCTGTGAGCCCTGAGCAGGAGCTTTGGGCTTCAGTCTGTCCCTCCACAGCACACTCAGAAATGGCTGTTGCAGTTGTATTAATTCTTACCATTCCATCCTAGTTTGTGCCTTGTTTGTGGAACCTGGGTGAGAACCAGATCTTTGTAAAGCAGGTTGTCTTTTTATGCAGACCTTTTTCTTTCTTTTCATTTATTCAGAGGTTCTCCTCAGCACCAGCAGAGTGGCACAACCAATAATTTTGATTTCAGCAGACATTTTGGGAAGGAAAATATTGCCAAAGGTTGACTAACACAGAAGGAAGGGCTTCTGTTGTGTGAAGGTGTGAGTGGAGGAAGTAAATAGAAATTATGAAGGGAAGAATGAAAAACTGTTATTTTCAAAGTTCAGTAAAATCTGAGAGATGTTTGTCATGGAGAAGGAGAACAAAGAATTCTAAAAATAGCAACAGATTAAATGGGTTTTATTGAGCTCTTGCATCCTTTTGAGTCAGTTTTAATAAATAACTTGCAGTTTGGTGTGTGGAAACGTTTCCCATAAAACCTGAAACAAGCGTGTGACTAGTTAGGATCACAGACTTATGGAACAGCCCAGGCTGGAAGGAACCTTGGGAGATGTCTGGCCCAGCCTTTCATGGGAAAGAGACACCAGGTGAGGGTATCCAGCTACCTGCCAATTGCACCTTGAAAACCCTCAGTGGTGGGGACTCCACCACATCCCTGGGGAGGTTGTTCAGTGACTGATTGATCTCACTGGAAAAATTTATTTCTTACATTGAGATGACACTTCTGCCAGTGCAACTTGTACCTCTCATCCCCTGTCTTCTGGTGGAGTTAGAGCCTCTGTCCTCTTTGTAGCTGCCCTGTAAGTAGCACTGTGATGAGGCTGCCCCTGGGCCTGCCCTTTTCCAGGGAGAAGGGACTTCATTCCTTCAGTGAAAGGACACCCAACTCCTTCACATGTGTATCATCCTGAAGGAAAGCTCTTCTGTTCACTGGTGATGTTTCTTAGCTGGAGTGATGGCCATGTCTTTGTACTGCTGACTTTAGAAAGGATCTGTGACTAGATGAAGTAAATTCATCAGGCATAATACAACATATCAGTTGTTTCAAATAGTAGGATGTAAGGGTCTTGAAACATGCCAGAAATTTAGATTTCCTCTTTCTCATTTGTTTTTGGTGGAATTTTTAAAACTTCCTGTCTCTTCCTTGCTTGCTCTGATGTGTGATGTCCTGCTCATCTCAGTGTAATGAACCTTTAGGAGTGTGCAGCTGGTCAGCAGGGCCAAGGCAGACATGACTGAAAACTACACCATCAGTTGGAATTAAAACTCAATATTAAGCCCAGGGAGTAGCAGACCAATATTCCATTCTATGCATAAAATACATGATATCCCCAAATGATAGATCTGGTCTGCATTGCCTGAATTCCTTGTCTGGAGTGCAGGAGTTAAAGAGCCACGTGTTTGGCACAGGTGAGAAACAGTGGCAAGAGGGAGGGGGTGTGGCCGTGGTGAGGAGCAGCCAAGGAGGCTGAGCATGTACATTCCAGTTCTCCTTCCCGCTCTTCCTGTGCTCTTCTGTTGCTACTTAACCCAACTGTTCAGAGCAAATCTTGCAAGGATTTGCCAGCTGGATTGTGGTATAATGTGCCTTTAATCACAACATTAGTAATTATTTTGAATTCAAAAGTAAATTTAACTCCTGCCCTAAGTCCTGATTTCACCTCATGTAGGCTTTTTTCATGTTTTGTTAGGCAGTAGCTGATCAAAGCCGAGACATCATTGCTTCTGCTCAGTGCATCTTGGACAGAGAAAATTTTGTGAGGGTAAGAAGTGTGCTGTTTTCTCACTTGCTGTGTGCTTTCCTGCATGTCAGTATCTTTAGTTCCTAAACAGTGATTCTTGAGAAAATGTTAATTGCTGTATTCTTGAAAAACTATTTTAGAGTTATGAGCTTCTATCTTTTCAGTCCACTCTGGATAGGACTGAAATAGCAACCCTAAATGTGAATCCCAGGTGACTTGAACTGCCTGTTTGCACTAATATTTGTTCTGTGGGTGTGGTGATTTGTAACAGTGGTGCTGTGAGCAAAGGGCAGGAGGGCTGCTCTGATCTGATCCAGCAGATTGCCAGTGCTGCAGGGAAGGTCCTTCTGCTGCCTGTCTTGCACAGTCTGGTGCTTGCAGCCCCCTGTGATTTCTGCTCAATAACCTGATGGGAAAAAGTGAGTCATTGTCTACCAAATTTGCACCACAGCTTCAAAAATTAAGGGTCTGAATGCCAGAGCTCTTGAAAGGGCAAGCTTGGAAATAAGTGATGAGAAGTGGAGAGAGGGAGGAGCAGAAGGAAGGGCTGGAAAATAGATGCCTTGGAGCAGTGAGCAGTCAGGTCAGCCAAGCTGCAAACCTTTACACGTGGAATCTTATTGATCAATAGTTTATATGGTTTTTATTTTCCATTTTTTCTTACTTAAGGAGCTGGACAGATATTTGAAGCACAATGATTTCCTAGATCTGAGAAAGACAGAACTTCTGTACAAAAAATATCTTGATAATGTTTCAGAGCCACTTATGCAAAAAATGAAGAAAAAAATGGACAGCCAGTCAGAGAAAGAAGTGTGGAAAAGGAGACAAGAACAATTCTCTCAATATTTAAACTACTTTACAAAGAAGGTATCAATGAGAAACCAATTTTTGTCATGGAGGGCGTTGTATACAGAGGGTTGTGGACGAGTTCAGGGGTTTAGCTGTTATTTCCTTCTTGTGAAGTAACTTGGAGTTCAATTCTACCTTGTCTGTAACTTACTTTTCTGAAGGACTTCCATAATGGTGATGTTCCAGCTGAGTGTGTTCACCAGCAGCTATGAGCAGCAGCATTGCTTGGTGCAGTGAACATGTGCTGGGCTCTGAATATGGTGAGACAGAACACCCTACTGAGCTGTGTTTGCCTCTGTGGGCTGGACAATTTAGTGGGAAAACCTTGAGTTCTGTCAGCTCAAACCAAAGGCTGAGTGAGCAGGGTGTGGGCTGCACTGCCAAGTCTCAGGAGTCCAGCTACAGCAGTACTGCAGCTCTGTGGGCAGAGCATGAGTGAAATGATTTTGTGGCCTTGGGTGCTACTGATCAAGCTTCATAAAAGAAAAAATATGGGAACAGGAAGATACAAACAATTGTTTGTCTTCATGCAGGTAATGGACCCAACTCATGGATTTTGTAGTTCTGTGTGTTTCAGTATTCACAAAAATTGCAAATTGCAGTCACTGTAGAAAATACTTGTTCGTTTTCTTCATTTTGCTCTTAATTTCACACCTCTCTTGAATATCAGATCCCACAGCTAAACTTTCTGCATCTCAGGAATGAAAAGAAAGAGAAAAATAAAAGCAGTTATGTAATCTGCCACAAAAATAATACTTTATGAGAGCAGGCAGTTGTTGTCAGTGGAAACCACTGCACAGTGGAGTTGTGAGACTGTAAACAACCTACTTATCCAGAAATGAAAATACCATGGGAGCTGTGTTGTTTTAAAGAGACCAAACTACTTTTTTCAAAGGCCTGATATGACAGACCCATGCATTTAAACTGCATGGAATGAGAAAGAACTGGAGCAGTCCTGCTGCCGAAGTCCTGGGTTTGGGCTGTGCTGGGGGTACTGCACATGTCTGGGTCTGCATCAGTCCGTCTTGCAAGCTGCTGTGCCAGGTCAGCAGTTTGCTGGGTGCCCTCCAGAAGCAATGGCTGATGCACTGGGATGTGTCCTTTTGCCTGAAGGGGGGCAACAGGATCAGTGATCATCTTCTACCTTTTCTCCTTGCTCGGTGCTGTCAGGTCTGTCACCAGCATGTCTGAGAAGCAGGCTGAGGCCCTTCATATTTACACATTATTTGCATAAGTTTGTGTTAACTGTGGCAGCATATGATAAATTTTGCAGAACTTGAGACACTTGTGTGGGTTAGTTAATGTGGTTAATTCTGGATGTGTTTTCCCTTCCCTCCCTTCTTTTTGCCCATTTTCTTTTGCTCCTTTCCCTGCTATCAGCCTTCTCCTCCACTTGTGGTAGCATTGTTGATGAGATGGAGCTGTGGCCTGGACCAGGAGACCCACAGGTTCAGGTCTTTACTCCAATGTATAGATGGAAAAGTCAGCTCATGGACCCAGACATGGAATTCTGCTATCTTGCAGACCAGTGACCTGCCTAAGGCTGTGGGTAGTGAGGTGTCACTCACTCCTGTTTTTCCTTTTCTTTTGAATATCTGTCTTGCTGACATCACAGAATATTTTGAGTTGGAAGGGACCCAGAAGGATCATCATGTCCAACTCTTAAGTGAGTGGGATCAAACTCACCACCTTGGTGTTATTAGCACCATGCTCTGACAAACAGAGCCAATCTCAGGGCTTCCTCCTCTGGAAAAACATTTTCCAAAAAAAAAAATATTCCATTGTTTTGACTGTCCTAGTTAAGGTTAGCATTTTAGCCTGTCATTATTTCTGAATACTTCATGAAATAATTTGTTATATATTTATGCCTGTGATAAATTAAAACGGATGGAGGAATTTTCCTGTTACAGTTCAGTCACTTTCTTTCTGAGGTGCAGTGTATGCAAATTGGGAATTCTTTTTCACAGAATTCAGAGATTTCAACCACCTCTGGTGCTGTGTTATGCTGTGCTTGGCTCTGTCCCACCCAGGCTGCCTGCTCTCACTGTTTTAACCACCAACAGCTGACCCAGTACCTGCTTCTCCCACAGGGTTATGTGTTTTTGGATGATTATGACCCATCAGAGTATGATCCATTCTTCCAGAAGACGCGCACAGACTGCTGGAAGGTGTGAGCAGGTTTGGAGTCCCACTTTGACCAGCAGGAGGTTAACAGAGCATGTTACTGACGTGCTGCTCCAGGGGAGTGTATTCTAGTTTTAATAACTCACTCCTACTGCATTTAAGCCCCAGAGTGTTTGAACATGGTTTTCACCAGGAACACAGTCTGGATCTAAGCCCAGTTTTTGAGACACAGTAGCAATGGCAGGGGGAGGTTTGTTTTCCTCATTTCAAATCCATCATGGCAGCATGGAGGGGATGTCCTGTCTAAGGAAGGTTGGAGAGTTCCCAGGCATGCTCAGTGTGTGCTGTGTAGAAGGAAATAATCTGACAGCTCAGCTGATCTTTACAGAAGCATGGCAACAATTTTTCCTTCTCTTTAAAGGACGAGGAACTCATCAACTAGCACAATGACAGAGAGAGCCAATGATGTCACCTGTGCTCCAGCTGACCACAGCCATCAAAGGTACCCTTTACACAATTAAGTTACATGCACTGCCAAAGCAAGTGAGAGCAGGCCAGGCACGTCTTTAGGCAAACTGCAATAAACTTACTGTCTTAAACATGTAGTTCTGAAATGTTGTTACCCCACTGCCAAAGAAATGTCTGAGATGCTGCTCCTCTTCTTCCCAGATCCAGCTCAATGTTCTACAGGCCAAAACCTGCTGTTTTAGGAGGTTTAACTTGGGCTGAGCTCAGTAAAGACGGTGCTGGTGTTCTCTCCTGGAGACAGTGTCCAAGCAGTAAATCACTTTTCACATACATCGTGGGTGTTTTGAGAAGGCAGGAAATAAGCAGGAGAGAGGAGATGGGAAGTGGTGTACAAAACATCTGCTGCTTTCTGCAGAGCTGGTGCTGAGCAGCAGCTGCTGCCAGTGCCCTCAAACCTGACCCTCTTCTGTGCCAGTGCAGTCCCACCTCCCTGCTGCTGCAGCTGACCAGAGCTCTGGGCTCAGAGCCTGGAATTTTCTCTGTCCTCCAAACTCCCATTGTACAGACACAATCTCTCAAGAGTTGCCAAGGTTGGGTTTTATTTAGGATTAGAAATACTGAACCACAGAAAACTGTTAAATGTAACAGAGGTTGACTGAGTAATAGGAGGGTGCACAGATGGCAACTGGGTGGGAAACTGCCAGACTTCAGGAGGAATTTCTGCACCCGTGGAAAACAAGGGCACAGGCTGCTCAGAACTGCATGCTGTGCTTCTGCAACAAAGCAGTTTAAAGGAGGAATAGAATGGTTACAATGTAACAAATATTTATAAACAAACCTTTTTTTTTTTTAAAACCACCCCTGATTTGCTGCCAAGAGAAAGTTTTTGCTTTCATTTCAACCAGTTCATTTTACAGTTTATATTGGGGTGACAGCTCCCCAGAACAAACCTTTAAAACTTGTGATAAACTTTCCTTGAACAAGTCCTATAAGCTTTTCTTATTATTTCATATTCCCCTGTACAATAAAATATATTTTTTTAAAATCACTATGCATCAATAAACATCTGTAGACAAATTAATAAACTTATATTTTACTCTCTATATACATGTTGGCAATGTCAAAGCTTCAAGGTTCACATGGAGGTCTGCAAGACCAAGGAAATGTACACAAATAACTTATACTTAGGAAAAAACCCAAAGAGCTGAAGAGTATTTTGCCACATTGTTGTGGGTCACAGTATTTAAAATACTTTTTTCTAGCTATTCTTCACAACCACATTGTCTCAGCAGAGAACGATAAATCAAACTGAAGCAGAAAGAAAAATCAAGTAGCAGTTACTGATTCCAGTGCAGAACTAAAGTCAAGTAAAGAACTATGCTTGAATCGTAAAAGAATATACAATATATTGGAGACTTCTCCAGTGCTAAGGCTTCTTCAGCATTTAACCGTCAAAACGATCATCCTGAGATGTGAAAATTCCAGTGGATATCACTTTTAAGATTTCAAATGGAATGATTTCTAGTGCTGAGCTTAAACCATTCCTCAGTCTGTCTGTCAGACTAAGTGGTAAAATATACAAACAGCTTGGTGCCACATTTCTACATAATATTTTTTATGGCCCTGAAAATGGAAACATTGGCATCCAAACCCAAGATATTCCAAAATAATAAAAAGGCACTGAGCAATAGTACTGTATTTACAGTAACATTAGTATTTGCATAGATCAACAACAACTGGGAACACTGCAAGGAACTAAGCACAACCAGGAACTAAGAGGAAACACAGAAGCAGCAGGAATTCTTGCTTAATAACCAGCATGGGACAAGGAATCTTTTACCAGAAGATGTTCAGGCTGTTAGCTTCAGTTGTCCTTCATAAATTAAAAGAAAAGTGTTCTTAGAGGAGTGTTTTCTGATCAAAGAGCTGCAGGTCAAAGCGCACCCACACTTCTCCTGTTGGAACCTCATGCAGCAGTAGGTGTTTAGTTGTGGGGCCTTTGCTCTCTTGTTCTGTTCTGATTTTAGCTACTGGAACTTCAGTGCGACCCAAAAAATCTGTTGGGCAAATGAATTAGAAATTTCATTAGGCAGAGATATTGACCATAAAAAATCTGAGTGAGGCAGGGTAATGCAATGCTGTGGGGTACATGCTCTGCTCCAGAGCACTGCTCCCAGGCTTCCAGTTGGATGGACCCCAGCCCTGTGTAAACCAGCCAGCAGTGATAAAAAGGGGGCCTTTTTAGAAGAGAACAATGCTATGGAATTAGGATGTCACAGTTTGACCTAAGGGCTTTAAAAATACTCTTAGAAAACACCCTTTTAGAAACACAGTTTCAAATATTCTTCAGTTTCAGAGCTGGCTGGTCAGAATTAGGTGATGGAACTTGTTTATAAATCAGCTGAGGTGCTCAAAGACAGTAAAAAAATCAACTGTTTTGGCTCAGCCAACTTTTAATTATGCCTATATAGCATGCTTTTTACTAGAATGATCTTCAACGATTACTAGTAGGTTTACAATCCTGTTCAGAAATCATAAACTTACTGTGTGACTATTTCTTACATGACATCTTTTGTGTGTGTGCATTGAAAGGTTCACCATGGACTGAAAAAGAAGACTCAGCTGTCCAGCAAAACTCACATTAACTCACAGGAGAAAAGACTGAGCTATGGTTACACACAAGGCATCTCAGGTCAAGGCAGTTCCCTGCAAATTTGCAATAATTGACTGTGTGTCAGAGCCCTGAAAAAGCACTTAACCTTTCAGAGAATATGAGAAGCAACTGACTGCCAAAAACGTGCTCAGTTTCCAAGCAACAAGAAAGCTGATCAAGCTGTTGCTGTGAAAATATAGCCCAGGACCTTATTTTTGAGCACCTATTGTGAGTAGAACTGCTGCTTTCAACTTGTCTGTCCCCTCAGTCTGACAAGAAAATAATTGTGCGTCTGATACAGAAGCCAGACTGGGATCAGATCTGACTGCCTGGAGTTACTGGCTCTGGAAGGCTGTGGAACCTCCTGAGTACTGAGGCATTGTTTTTACACAACACTTCTCAGGCAGCAGTCAGACCTACTGGCTCTTGAAACTGCTGCTGAGGAACTGGGTACCTTAGCTAACAAAAAAACATTCTTTGCCTAAATATTCACACTTACCATCAGGTGAGAACTGATCCCTGTCAAACATGGTGATACACAGGACATCCTGATACAGATCCTTGATGAAGAACTGGCAGTTGAAGTTCCACTTGGGATTCAGGGTGTCCTGCAGGGTCCTGGTAGTGTAGCTCTGTGAGCCCATGCTGATCTCACAGTATGGGTTGCTCTTCCCTAAACACAGAACAGGGAGTGAAACCCCTCTGCAGAGCACAACCTCCCCCTCCACCTGGAGCCTGCCTGGACACACATCAATGCTGCTGCCAGATGATGTGGATCAGGCAATCCTATATTCCAGAGCAGCACAGGGCTGGCTCTTCACTATGTCCTCTGAAACTAAAGAATGACTATTTCATATAGAAACTGTAGACAAACCACAGGGATTCCCAAATGACCAACTGCTCTCAGCAAGCCTTTCCAAATGTTTCAGGAATAAAACTGCTCTGAGACTGTTTCCCTCACTTACCATTGGGCTTACAGGCCTTCAGTTCTGTTGCTTCAATCACTTGCACCATCAAGCGTCCTATTCCTGAGGTTTTCTGTGAACGAGCTGGGAACAAAGAGGTCAGAAATAAACAGATTGGTTGGAATGTAAGAACTGGCCATAGATCTGAAGGAGACACTGGCATCCTCCAGAAAATGGCCTGCCCCTGTATCCAGGTGGATAAAGGGAAATGCAGAACTCAGTGGGTACCTTGATAAGCCTTCTCACGCTTCCTCTTCTCCGTTTCAATGTATTGCTCTGACGCTGCTTTGATTTTCTGGACCCAGGCAGTCCTGCAGGGAGCAATCCCTACAGTCAGGGTCATCCCACAGACAGCAAAATCTTCAGTGACTCTGCCCCACTCTCCTTCCCCATTCTCCCCTCCCTAAATTTTAGAGTCATCACAAATCAAGTCAGGTCATGGACTAAGGTGATGGAGTTTTTGGACTTAACCTTATGCCACATTCCAAATCGGTCTCAATAAATGGACATGGAGCTGCTGTTTTATCAGACTGTTGGGTCGCATTAAAGACTGCTCAGGACTGGGGAAGAGCCCTATGGGATGCTGGATTTTGCAGCCCTAAACTGTTCTTCAATACAAGTGAAACATCAAGGAGCAGCAGATGTGGCTGGATGCCACTGCAAAAGCTGCTACAGAAGCAGAACAAAATCAGAGAAAACTTCTCATTCAAATGAGAGCCCAGTGAGTATATTTCCTGGCCAAGAGACAGCTCTGTTCCTGAGCTCGGAGTCCCTGTGTCAGCTCACTGGAAACACAGCCTGCAGCATCAATGAACTAGTTTAAGCTCAGATTTGCATTTTCACTACTCACCGCTCATTAATGTTGTCAGTTTTAAGTGTGTAAACTCTGTCAATGTGTGATATGTGAAAAACTGGCTCATCACTTGAAGGGTCTGTGGGCAGCTTCACAAGGACTTCATTAAGGAAAACCGGCTGAAAGAAGAGCAAATGTCACTGTGGCAGCATCATCCTGTGACAATAGGCAAAAGCTGGCTGCATGTTTAAATACACTGTTTTACTGTAGGGAAAATGAAAGACTTAGGACACAGGACAAACAATGAGATCACTATGTAAGGGATGCAAGAAAGGGCTGAGAGAAAAATTTCTCTGGCAATTCACCCCATTCTGCTTTCCTAGGCAAAGAGCTTTGTGAAAGGGGAAGGAGTGTGCAAGCAGAGCTGCAGTGTGGAGCTCAGAAATCCAGTAATCTCTCAGGTTCCCTGAGGTAAAGCAGGCCCAATACTTAAGCTTATGTCTCCAGTTTCAAAATCTTGGGAACACACACTGTACGGGCACAGAGACTAAAATTTTGCATCTTCTGCTGTTTTCTGAAGGACAGGAATTTTCTTCTGGATGCAGGAACCTGTGTAAACTGAAGTCAAGGCTCCTGCTTCTGAACATCCCACTCAGCTGTTCAGGCCTGATGCTATTTCTGCCCTTTTCCCCCAAAGTGGATGGAAGTGTTAGTTAAACCAAGATGCAGAAATATGTCCTTTTCTGGGTACTAAGCCAACGTCATTTGTGCAAGTTGTTTGCCAGAACGTGCCCTTGTGACAGCAAAAGGGGCCACACAGCTAATGCCAGTGGAGAGCAACACTCCTCATCAGAGACCAGGACTCACTGTACCAACACAACCTGGAACACCTTGACTCACTCACCATTTTGTACATTTTGAACTGGGAGTTGGATTTAGGGCTGAACAGTTTATCGGATCCGGAAGACACAAACTGTTTAACCATGTAGGTGAGCAGCAGGAAGTCATTGAAAAGGAATCCATACAGCTCCTTGCTGCTCTTGGCCTTGTACAGCTTCCCACTGTGCAGGAGCTTCCGTGGTCCCAAGCAGTTTGTGAGGGAGTTGAACACGGGTTGCTGGGAAGAGACAAAACCCATTAGCAGCAGCAAGTCTGTGCAAACATCAGCTCCTGCTCCTCTGCACTGTGGAGACTGACCAAGCTGCTGAAAATGTTCTTCTCTTTTCTTTAATGAATTCCATTCTAAATGAAGAGAAGGGAACTGTTCTGTGATCAGCCATGGCCACAGCACAACTTCCACCTCAGAGGAGATTTAAGCTTTACCAAGAACACACACACAGAGATGACCAGATGGAGGCATTTACACTGCATGGCCCCTTCTGTGTTGTCCAGAAGCTGTGTTTAAGAAGAGGCTGCACAGGCTGCAGTCAGGTCACCTCTTGGGGGTGATTAGGTGATGGAACAGGACAGACCTGGGTCTGTCAAGCCATGGTTCCTTATGCAGTGGAGAACTGTCACACACCCACCTCCATTTGAAGGCTGTCCTGAAAGGTACAGGAGCCTGAACACCACATATCCTTGCAGATCTGAGGGCAGCTGTTCCCTGCCTGCTTGAAGGAAAACCCTAGGAAGCACACACTAAGTGAAATCCTCCATAGTAACACCTGACTTAGCCCAGTGGCAGCATGATCAGGAGTTCAGAGAGAAGAGTTATTTCTGTCTGTTTAATGGTCTAAATGGCACCAGTTTTTAAGCTGATAAATCAAGATTTCTCTGCCACTATAGCCATGCAAAAACAATGGTTCATCACGTTATGGCTGTGAGTAGGATTCAATAAAAGCTTCCCTGCCTAGAGCTCAGCAGTGGATCATGCTCCAATAAGGGATGTCAGCAAGGACTCCCATTCCCTCCCTGGCCATGCTGAAATGACTCTGAAAAGCCCCAGCCCTGCAGGGCATCAATGCAGGTACCTCAGCAAGGCCTTCACACTGGACGTGGGCCTGGATCCATTCCAGTCTGTCCGAGTTCTCCTTCTCACGCACGCCCTCATTCACCTGGGAGCACAACTCCTCCGCACGCTCCAGGGCGAGCCGGAGGTTACTGTGGTCCAGGTGGTTCTCTGCAGTGTTCTCTAGAATCTGGTGTGGATCAAAGAGGGGAGAAAGCAAGATGAAAACAGATGTAAGCCTGTCGGAGAAATCCCCATAAAGGGACAAGCCTTTATCTTGGCTTTTGCTACAGAGATCAAACTCAAAGTGTTCACCTACAAAGCCTCATTGGGGTACTCACACTCTTTATGAGCAGGGGGTAGCGCGTTATCCTTTGCATGGGTTTCAGGAGGAAGCTGGAGAGGGGCATTCCTTTGCACCGAGGGTCCAGGGCAAGTTTCTGTGGTGCAACCCAGAGATTTAGCAGAGACACTGCATTAGTCATCAGAAAACAGTTGCATCACTGGCACTGAATACTGGAAATTCTCTAAGCAGATTCATTTTTCCAGGCATTCCAAGAGATCTTTGATTTTTTCAGTATGCAGATACTACTTGTATCTAGAACAAACAGGAAAGCTGGCAGTGTCATTGCACCCAGTTGCTTTGCCAGCATAAATCACAGGGTCATTGCTCATACAGAATCCTTACATTCAAAACTGTTCCAGCTTTTATTTTGACACCACAGGCTCCACTCAGGTTGAAAAAGAGCAAAGCAATGAAAGAAACAAATGCCTGATGTCAACTGTTCTGGCAATTTTCCTTTTATGGCCTAAGTGAATCAGCTAGAGAGAAAGACAGTGTTATAAATAAAGAGCACACACAGTGTTAGCCATGGTCACCATGTAAATACACCTTGGAAGCCTCTTAGCTATTTTTGCAGGATTTTACTCTTCTGGCTTATTTTGATGTGGTGAATTCTGGTTAGACGGGCTCCTGTCATTGAGGAAAGGAGAGGGCACAGACGCCACCGAATGAGATACCTTTAAGTAGTCTTTGAAATCAGCATCTTCATCAGTTTTCTGCTGCAGCAGGGCCGCTCCGTTGAGCTGGCAGCTGCAGAAGCGGATGTAGGCCTGCATGTGGGACAGCTCTGCTGCCAGGATGTCCCCGATCATCTGCACCGGCATCTTCTCGCCTCCCGTTTTCTTACGCACCCGCAGGGCCCTGCGGACAGGAAAGAGATCAGCATCCAACTCTGCTGCCAAGTCACAACCTTACAGATCCACCTCTG